AGGGTCACGCGTCCGTTCGCGTAGTTCTCGCCCCGCGGCAGACACGGGCACTGCTCCGCCGCGCAGCTCTGACCCTGGCATTGGCAGCCCTGTATGGTCACCTCGCTCGGGTCTGGATCCGCTCCGGGGCCGGCCGTCAGTTCTGGAGTGTACTGCTGAGGGAAGACAAAGCCGATATAAGTACAGAGAGGAGCGGGCACAGCGCCCAATGGCAGCAGAAGAAAGTCCGAGCACAAAACTCCCAGTGACAATGAAATGAACCCTTAATTGCTCCCTCGGCTGTCTCTCCTCACTCTCTCCTGGCCATCTCTCCTCTCTCCCCTGGCCGTCTCTCCTCTCTCTCCTGGCCGTCTCTCCTCTCTCTCCTGGCCGTCTCTCCTCTCTCTCCTGGCCGTCTCTCCTCTCTCCCCTGGCCGTCTCTCCTCTCTCTCCTGGCCGTCTCTCCTCTCTCTCCTGGCCGTCTCTCCTCTCTCCCCTGGCCGTCTCTCCCCTGGCCGTCTCTCCTCTCTCTCCTCCCCAGCCCAGTATAACTCCTCCCACTTCCAGCGTGCCTGGGTTTGATACCAGCGCCCCGGGAGGTGACGGGTTCTCTTTATACCCATGAATCATACTTGTATGGGAATTGCTCCGTGTTGGTGAGAGACGTGAACGCCTCCCATTCACATATAATGACCTGGCAGAGCTCGGCGTCACCGCCGCCACTTGATTGGCGCATATTTGGCCGGCGTGTTTTAATGAGCGCCCCTCGTATGCGGTTTTATTCTCCTGCACATCAGAAGACAATGGCGCTCTGTCTGCAGACGCACGCTCGCGCATTCCGCCCCGAAGCCTTCGCCATATGTGGAGCGGGTCCTGGTTCCGACACGCAGGGGCACCGTACAATGCTGACGCGTGATGCCATAGTATGCGCGCCCCCCGCCATCGGGCTCACCTTTTGCACACCCGGCGGAGCGTCGCTGCGGTTCGCCCTCCAGCGTATAATTAATACACAATACTGCGCCACAATCCCGTCTCGGGGGAGGGGAATTAAAATGTCATGTCAGCTTCCATTTCCTTGTCACAGAGCACG